ACAAAGACCCTAGATATATAAAGACAAACTTATCATGAAGGATATTTCAAAGGCTTAGAGGTTTTCTCCCTCCCAGGAGCCAGTTAAGGGCTAGTTATTTCTTTGGAATGTGAAGCGTTTGACCATCATAAACCTTCTGAGCTAAACTTTTCTGGACAATGATATTAGGAACAATTTTATGCCAATACATTCAACAACTTAGATGAAACAAACAAATACCCTGAAAGAAAAACTACCAAAATCACTCAAGAAGAAATAATCTAAATAACATCTATCAAAGTTCAATTTGTAGTTTGCCAAAAACTACAAAAAAAACCACAAAGGAAAATTCAAATCGCTTCAACGGTAAATTCTACCAAGTATATAAGGAAGAATTAATAGCAATGCTACACAAGTCTTACAGAAAATCAAAGAAAATATTTATTTCATAAAACAGTATTACTCTGACCCCAAAATGAGGAAAACTTTACACAAAACTAAACTACACACCAATATCTCTCATGAATATATGCAAGTTTCAACAAAATTTTAGCCATCAAATCCAACAATATACAAAAAGCATAATATACTATGTCTAAGTAGAATTTAAAACAGGATGCAAGACTGGTATAACACAGGTTAAGTGCTCAATGCAATACACCATATTAAAAATCTAATAAAGAAAATTCATATTATCACGTGAATAGGCCCAGAAAATGCATGCAAGAAAATCCATTATCCATTTCTGATAAAAGCTCTTGGAAAACTAGGAACAGAAAGAAATCTCATCGACTTGCTAATGGGCATCTACAAAAAAACCTAAAGTTAGCATCATTCTAAATGGTGAGAGAAACTTTTTCCTTAACATCAGAAACAACAGGGTACCCAATCTCATTCTTTTATTCAACTTTATAATGTTGGGTCTAGCCAGTGCAATAAGGCAAGAAAAGAAAAAAAGGCATGCAGACTAGAAAGAAGTTAAATTTTCAGATAACATGATCATCCAGGCAGAAAATCCAATGGAATCTACTTTTTAAAATCTGCTATAACTATTAAGTCAGCATATAAAAAGACTTAATAGTCACAGCAACATTTTTAAAAGTAGAATCTATTGGATTTTCTAACCTGGATGATCATGTTGTATGAAAGTTTTACTTCTTTCTAGTCTGCATGCTTAGAGAGAAGAGGGTGTCAGAGGATGAGATGGCTGGATGACATCACCAATGCAAAGGACATGAACTTGGGCAAACTTTGGGATATGATGAGGCACAGGGAGACCTGGTGTGCTGAAATCCTTGGGGTCACAAAGAGTCAGACATGACTGGGCAACTGAACAACTACTATTAAGTGTATTAACCATGGCTGATCAACAAACATTTCTATGTAGTAGACACAAAAAATTGAAAAAAATGCTATTTATTAATACAATAGCATCATGTTATTAATCACTTAAAGATAAATCTAACAGATGTGCAAGACATGTACTGAAAATTATGGAGTATTGCTGAAATGCTATTTTTAAGGCCTTATAAAAAAATAAAATGACATCTTGATTCTTTTCAGCTTATTTTTAATGCCTTTTATTTACTAACCCACAAGTCCATGGCTGCAACTAGCAATAAGAAACAAACAGGGTTTACAGAAATTCATACTAGAAAGGAATCACAGAATATATAAGCTGTGGAAAAGTTTCAACTCAATACTTAACTTTGAAAGGTTTCTTCTTTCAATATTTATGTGAGTACTCAGTAGGCGTCAAACACTGTTATACACTAAGTAAATAAAAGATGAATCCCCTGAAATTGTGGAGATACTATTGAGTACAGCAAAACAGAAAATAAACAAATGCAGATAATTTAGGAGTTATAATGGTGCTATGAAAATAATAAAGAACACAAAAAAGTAGGGGGAAATCTGGGGTGCTATTTGTATAGGATAGGGTGGTCACCTAAGGGGACATTCAGGTCAAAACCTGAAGTAGAAAGAGCCAGTCAGACAAGTGAAAGATGGTTATAGCCAAATGGAACAGCATTTGGGAAAGCCTTGGGTAGGGCAGTACGGGAATGGGAGGAAAGACTGGGATTTTCTAAAACTCCAAAGAAAGCCAATCTGGCTGGAGTGTAGGGAATGTGGAATAAACGGAAAGATAGCTTAATGGTCAAATAAGAGGTAAGCAGGGGTCAGATCCATGTAGGCTCATGTAGAAACAGCGATTGTATTCAAAGTGCAACAGGAAGCTGTTTTACAGTTTTAACCAGACTACAGACATCAGATTTTCTTTTTTAGAAGGTTATTCTAGTTGCTATGGCAGAGGACCAACTGAAGCCAATATGACAGTCTAAGTTGTCACAGATGGTCTCCTTTAGCCATAAACACAAAAATGCTGTATATGATACAACATGTTTTTAACACAGAACTTAAAGCAAAATGTGATGTAGAAAGCAGATCCAAAAGGCACTCTACCTGTATATGTGCTGGTGACTTGGATGTCTAAACCCTTTTGAAGGCAAAATCCACGAAATAAAGTTTGGAGCATGGAAACGATGGTCCACATGGTAACAGAGGATTAAGAAAAAAAAAAAAAAACTCAGCTTACTGCTTGTAAAAGCAGCAAGGAAGGTGCTTGTGTATTTTTTTTTAAGGGCACCTAAAGATATCTGGAGACCCTGGTGGCTCAGACAGTAAAGAGTCTGCCTGCAGTGTGGGAGACCGGGGTTCGATTCCTGTGTCAGGAAGTTCTCCTGGAGAAGGAAATGGGAACCCACCCCAGTATTCTTGCCTGGAAAATCCCATGGACAGAGAAGCCTAGCAGGCTACAGTCCAAGAGGTCGCAAAGAGTTGGCCAGGACTGAGCGACTTCACTTTCAAAGATATCTGAGGCCTGTATCATACCTGGGGTAAAAGCCTAATTTATGTTATAAGCTGAAAACTTTACTTCAAATCTGGTTTAAAAATTATCTTAAAATCTGGTATAAAATGAAACTTCTAGGAACCAGTAAAACCAATTTGTAGTCTCTCAATCCAAGATATAAAGGGCTCTCAACAGAAAGAACTTTGAAGATAAACTCCCAGGAAAATATTCATTATTTTACATTATATGAAGAAACAAGGCACCAAGAAAAGTGAAAGTCGCTTAGTTGTATCTGGCTCTTTGCGACCCCAAGGACTGTAGCCCACCTCTGTCCATGGAATTCTCCAGGCAAGAAAACCAGAGTAGGTAGCCATTCCCTTCTCCAGGGGATCTTCCCCACCCAGGGATCTAACACAAGTCTCTTGCATCACAGGCAGATTCTTTACCATTTAAGCCACCAGGGAAGTAACCACGAGGGAGAGCCAAAATAAACAAGAAACAGTACATTTTGAAGTTTGCAAATTGGAAATTATAACTTTATACAGATGTCTTTTACCATCTCACTCAAGCTTTGGTTCTCATTCAGGGTTAATGCAAAACCTTCTAAAATACCTTACTTTCCAGCTCTATTAAGATTACTGATAATTCTCAAAATTATCATACAAGGTGGTTCATTTTTATTAGATGGCACTAGATGGCTGATGCTGTAAACAGAAAACTGAACTATCAGAATGTACTGATCTCCAACTACTATTTTGGAGCTACATAATCTTTAACTGCATTTTAACATATTTAGTCTACCTTCAAAAACTGTATGAATATGACTCCTCATGAATATGACTCCTCCAATCCTTTTGGATGGCCTTTTAATTTCTAAATGTTAGGAAATGTGCCCATATTTAAAAAGAAGCGTTTGTACACACCTAAATCTATGAAATTGCTTTTGAAATTTAGGTTATAAGAATTCCAAACACCCTTCACCTTCTAAGCACCTACTTAAGCTTAAAATACTCATTCCAACTCTTTTCCTGGGGTAGTACTTTTAGTCTACTCCTTAATTTCAATTTGTTTAAAAACAGTGACACATTAAAACCAAAAGCCATACATGTAATTTTTAAATGTAAGCTAAAATAACTGGTTTTAAACAGGCAAAACAATGAAAACAGAAATAGGAAAAATTAAATGTGGTATCACTTAAATCATCCTGATCTACACGTACTTAGACAAAGTTTGCAACTTTTAATCTCTGAAATCTTGCTTAAAACGAGAAACGGTAGCTCAGAGTGGTTAAATGTTTAAGGTAGTACCAGGACATTGAGATCAGGACTCCAGGCTGGAGAAGCCTAGGAAACATTTTCCCATCCCCCCTCGTCCACGTTTTACACTGCCTTCACTGAACATAAACAGAGAGGAAAGATCGTTTTTAACAGGCGGGACTTAGGCATCCCTTAGGAGAAAGGTGACAGGTTAACGAGAATCATTCACACAACATCAAAAAACCGACCCGCAATCAACAGAAATCTGGGAGTCGCAACCGCCTGTGGGAGACCTATCCATGCATGCTGTTACACGTGTCCGTTCCTTTCCCACTATTACACCCGTCTTCTGAAATGATTCTTTATAATTAAGAGCTTAAACCTGGACATTCTTGAGGCAACCTGCAGGATAAAGTCAGTGCAGTTTTAGAGGAACCCTCTACAAATCACGCAGTGAAGCCTCGCAAGACCACCACGCACAGGGTTCCGCTCCAGTAAATTTACAAAGGGCCCCTAGAGGCAGGGTCTGTCCTCCCTTCTCCGCCACCGACTCGTAGCCACTTTCTCACTGCCTGTTTATCTCCAGCTTACTCGCATCTGTAGTTCCTCTTTTTCCTCTTAAAGCGATAATCCAACAAGCACAGGAGACAGGGAGAAAGAGAAAAGCCAGGTCAAGGGGAACGAATGTCTGCGAAGCCAAGATTTCCTTATGCACTTTGTCAGGCACTGCCAGAGACAGTCTGAAAGAGATCCGGGTCCTGCTGCAAGGGAGAAGGGGGCCTTGCGTCCAGAATTCGGTGCGCTGATTGGTTGGTTAGCCGCGGCGGGGAAGAACCCGGATGTGCCTGGGTAGTCGTGTTGGCAGTCGGGGCTCCGAGGTTTAGGGTACTAAGCGTGCTGGCAAGCCAAGGCGGATGGCTCAGGGTTGGGCCGGCTTCTCTGAGGAGGAGCTGCGGCGACTAAAACAGACTAAAGGTAAAGGGACGGGTCTGCAGAGCTTTAATTCTTCGATCTGTGAAGGGAAGGGGCGGGGTTGCAGTTTTTGAGCGAAAGGGGGCGGGGAAAAGGGTTACCTGTGTTAGGGAGAGGGAGCTGTAAGTCGGAGGGCAGGATTGAGGGGGCTCAGGAGTTGGATGCACTTGGAGCCACGGCTGAGGTGGCGGTGGGGAGTGTGTGGCAGACCCTCGAGACTGAGAGAGTTAAGGTATCTATTTCAGGGATTTGACTTTTTCCTGGGCAAGGAATGGGACTTGGGAGAGGAAGTGACCTGTAGGAGGCTTGCGGCACAGATCAGTGGATGGAGGGTTGGGGTCAGAGTAAAGGAAGGAGGTGCACACATCGTATTAGCGTTAAATTGTGGTGTATTTATAGAAAGAAGCAGACTGATTGGGAAAAGGAAGCACAGGGATCTGAATAAATGCAGAAAGTTGCAGATTGTCATGATACATCTGGAGTCTTGCATTCACTTCTGGTTGCCAAATGATTTTTGCAGTTCCTTCCAACTCTTGAGAGTCAGCAAACCAAAAGGGTCTTTGAGAGATTAGGCGTGAAATGTAGAGCTATCTAGCTACCTATCAATCTATAGACATGCACATCTGCTGACTTCAGTGTAAGCTAAAATTTTGAGCTTGCTTCTCCATCTTTATAGTGTAATCACTCAATGGACTTTTACTTTTGTTAGTTTTTAATGAGGGAATTAAGTTTGCTGATATTTGGTGAGAAACTCGTAATATAAACTGTGCTTTGTGATTGAAATTTCATAAAGTTGTGTATAGTGATCTTGCTAGTGCATGCTACTTCTGTGAGTTTACACCACTCTTGGTACCATAACTTACACATTCTGGGGGGAAATTAATAATCCCTTCTATGCCTTTTATTAGAGTGTGTGAGAAAGTTGGATGTTGCTCAGGTCAATTTGTTTGTTTTTAGCATGGTGGTGAAGATAATCTAGGCCCGAGGAATGGAAAAGGAAGTAAATTTGTAATGTGATAGCAGTGTAGATTATATGGATCAGGAAAATTTTGACTGCTCCAGAGACCTTTAAAAGCTGAATTGTAAAAGTTACACTGAAGTTTGTAATTAACTGACATTCCTGGTACTAGTTCCTTGCTTCTGATCTGGCCCGAAGTTAAGGGGGGCAGCTTCTGCATTAGGGATGCTGATATAATCAGAGTTTCATCCCTGCCTTCAAAGAGCTTATAGTCTGCTAAGGAGACAAACTATAGTATAATGTGATAGTAGTTGTTGTACCAGAGCTTGCTACAGAATTAACAGAAATGTTACTCTGCTGGTGGTTTGGATGGAGCTTGGTGGTATTTCACAGAGATTGTGTGTTAGTAGAGGTGAGTTTGCCCCAGGAAGGAAGACTTAATGCTAAATTGAACACTGGATTCATTATTTGGAAGTACATTTCTAAATATCTCCATAATTTGGGATAGAGAGGGGATGAAGGACCTTAACTTTAAGACCTATCATTTCACTGAGATGTTAGAACATAGACACCAACTAGTCTTTGACTATCTTAAGAAAACATCTCAGCATTTTGTATACTCAGCCAACCACAGTGATTGAAAATAGTAGATCTCACAGCTCTGCCTCTAAATCTTTTTGTCTTGGATTTCTCATTTGTGAAACTAAAAGAGTTGAATCTTTAATTTTTAAGGCTCCTTCCAGCTGTTCTCCAGCCTTAAAAATATATTTAAATAATCTATGAAGATGGAGTTGGTTGCCAGCAAAAATAAAGACAGCAATAGTCTAGAGAAGCCCATATGGGCATCTGGGAAAGTCAAACATGTTCCTAATACTCTTTGTTTATACTGTTTATAATATTAAAAAGCTGGAAGCAACCTAGTCTTCATTAACAAGGGAGTGGATAAATAAGGGAGTGGATAAATAAATTGTGGTAAGATCATCCACCAGGCTACTAAACAGCTAGTGGGAATTGAACTACAAGCCGCATGTATTTTCATGCATAAATTTCATAGATTTAATATGTGAAAAGAGCAAATTGCAGAAGAATATATACAGTCGCTACCATTAATAGAAGCTCAAAATCATACAAAGCATGTATATTCATTTAGGAGTATAGGGAATATATAAAGAAAATTAAAGGAATGAAACACAAAATTTAGGATGGTGGGAAGGCAAGGGAATATGATCAAGGGGCAAATGTAGTTTCAAAAGTACTGATAATAGTGAAGCCAGGTTAAGCCAAGTTAAGCTGCAGTAACATATAGCCTTGAAATATCAGTTGTTTGAAATAGTAAAGGTTTATTTTTCACTCTAGTTTCATGTTTAACATGGGCTGACAGGTGATTGTTCCATATAGCCACTGCACACCATGATTTGGTGCTGTCATAGTTCACTATAGCAGGAGAAGATTGTGAAGTGAGCATTGGCAATAAATGCTTCCATCAGTAGGAGATCAATAGACTCTTAGAGAATATTCTCAATAGAGTATTATGCAGTGTTAAAATTAAATGGCTACAGCGACATGAACAACATGGATGAATAATGGCAATATCATATTAAGTTAAAGAAGATTATATCATGCATGATATCCTTTATATAAAGTTAAAATAACTAAATAATATAGCATTTAAAAGAAGTATTTGTAGACACAGTATGGCATAAAAAGCAAAGGAAGGGGATTATCAACATATGATTCAAATGATAATTGTCTTGGGTAGGGAAAGCAGGGCTTAATTAAAGGATGTAGAACAAAGATTACAAACTCAGCCCACTGGCTTGATTTAAGCCACAAATGTTTTCATCCCCTCCCCCCTTTTTGGATTATCTAATCTTAAAACTTCTTTTAAATTAATACTGGGGAAATTGTTTCTGGTTCACTTCTCTTCCCAGTGTATTCCTGTTGCCCTTGTTTTTGGATCAGGCCTAGTGCTAGTTCAGCATTGAACTGTAAGCATAAGTGTTAAGTCACTCCTGGGTCAGAGCAATTAATTGCTAAACCAAGTCCTTCCTAAGCTCTTTTCTCACCTGCCCTGGGGGCTAGCAAACACTGGCTGAGCAATCAGCCTGGAGCCCTAAGAGGCCGATCAGCAGGAAGCCCCTTCTGGCCTTCAGTTGGCACGTGGCGTTAATAAGAAATAAACCTTTGTTGTTTAAAACCATAAAGTTTCCAGGGTTCTTTGCCCCTATAGCATAATCTAGATTTTCTTGATTGATATGGTTCTCTATATTTGACATAAAAATCTGAATTTTTCTAGTGAAAAGTCAAGAAGTCTGGTAACTTGGACTTAAGTTTTTAGTGACAGCTGCCATCTTTAAGGGCTTCCCTGGTGGCTCAGCTCGTAATTAATCCGCCTGCAGTGTGGGAGGTTGGGTTTGATCCCTGGCTTGGGAAGATCTGGAGAAGGGAAAGGTTACTCATTCCAGTATTCTGGCTTGGAGAGTTCCATGGACTGTCCATGGGGTCAGTTAGAGGTGGCTAATGGATTGTCCGCTTGAAACAGTACTTGTGCTCCCAGTTTACCACAGCCTCCTTGATACTTGCGGCCCCCAAAAAAGTATGCAAAAGAGCATGTTCCTCCCCCCCCCAATTCTTCCTAAAGACTTTATTTTTTAAGAGCAGTTTTAGGTTGATGGCAAAATTGACAGATAGATACAGAGGTTTCCCAGATAGTCCCTGCCCCAACAGGTACATAGCCATCCATCCCCAGTATCAACGTCTTCTTCCAGAGCGACACATTTGTTATAACTTTCGTTGACCCATCATAGTCACCGAAGTCTATAGTTTACATTAGGGTTCACTCTTGGTATTAATACATTCCACAAGTTTGGACAAATGCATGATGTCATGTATCATTATAGTATACAGAGTATTTTCACTGCCCTAAACATCCTCTTTTCTCTGCCTGTTCATTCTCTTCTCTCCTTAAACCTTAGCAATTACTGATTCTTTTACTGTCTGCATAGTTTTACCTTTTCCAAAATGTCATATAGTTGGAATCATACAGTATATAACCTTTTCAGATTGTTTTCTCTCTCTTAGTAGTGCAGTTAAGGCTCTCCCATGCTCTGTGTGGCTTGATAGCTGATTTCTTTTATTTTTAGCTTTGAATAATATTCCATTGGTCTGTATGTACCACAGTTTATCCATTCACTTACTAAAGGACATCTTGGTTGCTTCCAGGTTTTGGCAGTTATGAATTAAGCTCCTCTAAATGTCCATGTTCAGGTTTTTGTGTGTATATGAGTTTTTATCTCATTAAAAATACCAAAGAGCACAATTGCTAAATCATATGTTAAGAAATGTTTAGTTCTGTGAGAAAACAGCAAACTGTCTTCCAAAGTGACTACCATTTTGCATTCCCACCAACAATGAAAGAGTTCAGGTTATTCTACATCCTCACCCACATTTGATGTTCTCTGTGTTACGGATTTTTGGCCATTCTAATGGTTGTGTAGTGGTTTAGTTCAGTTCCATTAAGTCTCTCAGTCATGTCCGACTCTTTGTGACCCCATGAACCGCAGCACGCCAGTCTTCCCTGTCCATCACCAACTCCCGGCATTTACTCAAACTCATGTCTGTTGAGTCGGTGATGCCATCTAACCATCTCATCCTCTGTCGTCCCCTTCTCCTCCTGCCTTCAATCTTTCCCAGCATCAGGGTCTTTTCAGATGTGTCAGTTCTTCACATCAGGTGGCCAAAGTATTGGAGTTTCAGCTTCAACATCAGTCCTTCCAATGAATATTCAGGACTGATATCCTTTAGGATGGACAGGTTGGATCTCCTTGCAGTCCAAGGGACTCTCAAGAGTCTTCTCCAACACCACAGTTTAAAAGCATCAATTCTTCGGTGCTCAACTTTCTTTATAGTCCAACTCTCGCATCCATACATGACTACTGGAAAAACCATAGCTTTGACTAGATGGAATTTTACTGGCAAAGTAATGTCTCTGCTTTTTAATATGCTGTCTAGGTTGGTCATAACTTTTCTTCCAAGAAGCAAGCATCTTTTAATTTCATGGCTGCAGTCACCATCTGCAGTGATTTTAGAGCCCAAGAAAATAAAGTCTCTCACTGTTTCCATTGGATCCCCATCTATTTGCCATTTGCTATTTGTGTAGTGGTATCTCATTTTAATTTGCATCTCCCTGTGGTATATAGTTTAGATTCTTTTCATATGCATAGTTGTTATGTGTATATCTTCTTTGGTGACAAGGTATCTGTTAAGGTTTCTGACCCCATTTTTAATGAGGTTTTCTTATTGTTGAGTTTTAAGAATTCTGTGTATATTTTAGATAGCAGTCTTTTATTAGATGTGTCAGTTGCAAATGTTTTCTTCCAGTTTGTGGCTGTCTTCTGTTCCTTTGACATTGTTTTCCACAGAGCAGAAGTTTTTAATTTTCATCAAGTATAGTTTATCAGTTATCTCTTTCGGCGTTGTATCTGAAATTCACTGCTATAGCTGACATCTTCTAGATTTTCTCCTGTGTTGTCTTTTAGGAATTTTATAGTTGAGTTTTGCATTAGGTCTATGATCTATTTTGAGTGAAAGGTATAAGGTCTGTGTCTAGATTTATTTTTGTGCCATTTGTTGAATATTTTTGTTCTATTGTATTGCCTTTGCACCCTTGTCTCAGTTGATTGTATTAAAGTGGGCCTATTGCTGGGCTCCCTAGTCTATTCCATTGATCTCTATTCTACTCTTCTGCTAATTCCCACTGTCATGATTACTATAGTTTTATAGTAAGTGTTACAGTCAAGCAGTGCCAGTCCAACTTTGTTCTTCAGTATTTTATTGGTTATTTTGGATCTTTTGCCTCTCTATAGAAACTTAAGAATCAGTTTGTTAGTACCCACAAAATTACTTGCTGGGATTTTAATTGGCATTGCTCTAAATCTATATGATCAGTTTAGGATGAACTGACATTGACATCTTGACAGTGTTGAGTCTTCTTGTTCATGAATGTGGAATATCTCTCCATTTGTTTAGTTCCCTGATTTCATTTGAGTTTTGTAGTTTTCCTCTTCATCTTGTACATATTTTGCTAGATTTATATCTAAGTAATTCTTTTTTTGAATGCTAACATAAATGTGACTGTGGTTTTTTATATCAAATTCCACTTGTTCATTGCTGCTAGGAAAGTGATTGGTTTTTGTATGTTAATCTTATATTCTGCAACCTTGTTATAATGACTTACTAGTTCCAAAAGGTTTTTTTGTCATTTGTTTAATTCTAAAGTGACCTGATTTGTTGTTTGGGAGTTTAAAAATTAGCATTTTTAATGTCATAGGTAGGTTCTGTGAAAATGCAAAATAAAATGGAAGCTGCATTACTGACTTTCAGAGGGATATTAATAATTCAACTAATAAGTATAACTGAAAGGTAAGCAGGCTCAGTGACATTTTCTGATGGTGTGAATAAAGATCAGTAGCCTAGAATAAGTTTCTGTTGCAAGATATAGTACAGTACATCGTGTTTCTGGCTAAAGTCAATAGTAATAACATTTTACTTTTGATTATATGTCTTTTGAAAATATTTTCTTTCCATATTTCATTTAATTCTTACACCAACTCCTTGAGTTAAGTAAAGCAAGTAAATTTTCAACCAGTTTGACAGATGAAGAAACTGAGGTATAGAGTATTAATAATCAGTTGACTTGCCTAAGGTTAATGAGGTGGAGAAAAGCAACAATGGAAATTTGACTCCCAAGCTTTAACCCTCCTTTGAGAAATTTAAATAATAAGCTTATGTTGTTTCAGAGGTCATTATTAGGTTTTACAAACCCTGTTTAGGTCATTTACAAAAACTTATCAGTTTCATTTCCTGGGCACTTATTGGAATGTATCACTTATTGATCTTAAGTATAGTGTGAATGTGAGTCAGAGTCTCCAGTTGTCTGACCTACAAGGTTAATACTGGTATGGACAGTCCAAAAAGTACATTTAATTACTTTCTTATCATTTAATTCATAATACTTTTTTAAAAAGACTTCTCCCGATTATTTTGTCTTCCTCTATTGCTTTGCTCAGGCTGCTATTAAAATTAGCTTGCATACATTGATTAAAGGCTAACTGTACTTTGGGGAACATAGGCCCAGGCTGTTTGGAAGATGAAAGGAAACAATTTAGGGTTAACTAGCATCCCTAAAATTAAAAGACTTCATTCGGTAATACTTTGTGTATTGTGTCTACCTATGTATCAAATTACCCTAAGATCTGTTAAAATTTAAGAAAGGTGAAGCCCATTTGAAAAAAGCCACCATTTTATTTCAGAAGAATAGACAGAACCATCAGTCAAATTTAAGACATATCAGTGAATTCATTTGTCTGCCAACTTTGGTCATATTAGATTCTTCTGACAGCAAATCAGGGTGAACCCTTGCTTTGTATTCTAAGGCCTAACTCACAAAGAAATGGACTTCCTTAAAGATAAATTGAGAAGTAGGTTAGTTTTTGTTAAATATTAGCAGTATGATCAGAGAACTGTCAAATTCTGCAGGAAGATGGCAGTTTTTCCCCCTGGGATTTTAAGGAAGACAAGGGAAGAAAATCCCTGCAGAATTACTGCTTTATTTTCTTAGAGAAGTTAAAATTATTTGCTGCTCACACAAAGGAATTTTTCTCCATTCTTTTTTTTATATATAGATCCGTTTGAACCACAGCGGCGTCTCCTTGGGAAGAAAAGTCGACAGCAACTTCAGCGAGAAAGAGCCCTTCAAGAGCAAAGTCAAAAATTTGGACTTCAAGATGGGTCAGCCTCATTACCTCCAGAGCAGCTGCTCTCTGCACCAAAACAAAGATTTAATACTCAGAGACCATGTTCTTCTGCTCCTACTCCCCTTACACTCACCTTTCCTGTTGGTGATGGAAAACCACAGGGTACTGAAAGTCAACAAAAGGAACTGGGACTTAAGAATTCCCATGAAGTTCACAAAAATGCTGAGGTTCTGCCTCCAAAACCAGATTGCCAACTGGAAAAAAAGAAAGTGGAATTGTTAGTAAGTCTATATATCCATGAGACTCTCTTTTCATTTTACTTTTTTATTCCCCATTGAACCTGAAGAAATACAGTGTTAATATTTTGTTTGTTTGATAGTCTAACCTGAAAATGTGATGAATAAACTGTTGAAAAATAGCTACTACCTAAATATAAGTAGCAGTGTTAAACATTTTATATGTTTTATGTCATTTAGTCTTCACAACAGTCTTAGGATGCATATTGGTTGTTTTCACTTTATGGATGCGATATGTTAGAAAAGATACTGTATTCCGAAAGTGAATACCCTGCTAATAAGTAATAGAGTTGGGGTTCACATGAAGTCTCCAGATCCAAAGCCTGTGTACTTTACACTCACCAGAACCAGTTCTTATATGTATGATACTCCTCCCCAGATTGAATCCATTCTTTCAACTTTCAGATAGCATCTTCATTGACTCAGAAAAGGGTGCTTGTGAAGAGACAAGAAGATCAAAGGAAAGAGTATAGGGAATTGAGAGGAGAAATTAAATAATTAGTCATTAGATTTCTTTATTTGTTGTATTGGTATTAGAAACCACCTCCTGAATTTAGTTTAGCCACATTCTTGTGGAAATTGCCATTCTGTGATTTGTGAATTCTTATAATCAGTTTTTTTCTATTATATGACTTATGTATGAATAGCCCTTCTTTGTTTCTCCTGATTTATCACTCACAGGGAAGAAAGAATAGTCTCTGTTTCTGTTTTCCATTTTCTGAGTCACTCTTTTTCAAAGTGTCGTATGTTTTATCTAATCTCAGCTCTTTTTCCAATCTCTGCTGATCCAGATTCTCTACTAAGTTTAAAAAGTGTTTCCTGCCCACCAGGGTTTACAGCCAAGAAATCATTTTGACAAGAGATATAAAGCCATATGAATTATGGAACCAAAATTAAATGTGTCTACATTTAATGTCTTAAATGTAGTCAACTCTCATAGTCCTGAAACAAGTAGGGGGGGTATTAAATTGGAAAATTGAGGTCGAATGTCATTAGGAAAATTATTATTATCATTTTAGGTATTTGAGAAATTTTTCATAGAATAAATGTCATCTCAGGAATGGTTGTTGAAAAGGAGAAATTCTGAGGCTATAAGAGAAGTAAAGGAAAGCTATATATTAGAGAATGTTCAGAGATGACATCTCACTTTTCTGAAAGAGGCACACAATAGCCCAGAAAATTGTAGAGAATTAAAGAAGTATGAAGAAAGGTTTGGAAGCTGAAGATGCCTGTCTAGTGAGTTCCTTGACCCCAAAGGGGAGATGACACTGATAAAACTAACTGAGAACATCCAGGTGTTGGTGCTGTGGGATCATTTGGCAGAGGGTATTGGTTTGAGCTACAACTGAGGTATCTGGGGAGGAGAAGCCTGCAAACAGTAAAAATGAGCAATGACCAACAGCAGCACTAAGGTGGAGGTTGTAGGAATAAAGAGAAAAGGATAATTTTACAAGCGGGTGCTAGGTCTCAGGAGGGAGATTTTTGATACAATGGCTATGAGAAGTGACAGTAATAGGGACAAACAGCTTTCTCATTACCTTGTTTAATTTGCATTGACATTAAGTTCATGAATTTACAGAAAATTTTAATGTATTTCAGAATTGGATAGATTGGAAGACAATTCATGTTTGTAGATCTTTGGAGTTTTTTTTGAGCCCAGCATTCAAGTTTTATTTCGTAGTGTTTCACTCTTTAAAAATGAGAGCTAGACGGAAGTGAACAAATTGAAAGAAAAAATGTATGAAATAAACATTGGTTATTGCTTGTTTAGAAAACGCTTAAAAGATTTAACATTAGCTATAGAACAATTTATAGTCCTATCTATTTTGCATATAATACATGATTAACTTAAACAAGTTTCTTTGTACTCCTAAAGAATGCCATAGTACTCTGGCTTCAAGTTTGTGGGTTTCTAGATTATATACATACAGTGGATTTCAAAGGGCCAATTTATCTAAGCCTTTACTTCAAATCATAGTCTTTGTTCCTATTAGAACAAAATGATGAACTACAGATGGGTTCCTTTTAAGAGAACTTTTGGGAAAAAATATACATATACATATAAATAATCTAGTTGATTGAATTTTATACTTAGGAACTGAGACTGGCAAGGTGTGGAAAAGTATAAAAAGCTCATTTTTATACTTTTGCTCCCAAGGCAAGAAAAATCTCGTTGGGAAGTCCTCCAGCAAGAACAGCGGCTGATGGAAGAGAAAAATAAACGTAAGAAAGCTCTTTTGGCTAAAGCTATTGCAGAAAGGTGAGGCACCTGAACCAGGAGAGGTTGTTTGTAACCTGCAATCAGTTTTGTCATGTTATGTATTTATTTTCCTATGTCTGTTCTAATAAATGACATTTTCTCTACAGTCATTACTTTTAAGACCTATTAAATTATGCTTTACAAGTGATACAGAGATTCCAGTCTTAATTTATTAAGGAAGGCTTTTAAAGCATAGATTATAATGTATTTATGAATATAGATGCAGTTAAAACTTAAGATCATCATCAGTGTTTTTTAGTTTTAACCAGCTACATACTCATAAGAGAGCAGTAAATAGCTGTTGATATAAGTAAATTGGGCTTCCCTGGTGGCTCAGATGGTGAAGAATCTGCCTGCAGTGTAGGAGACCCAGGTTTGATTCCTGGGTTGGGAAGATCCCCTGGAGAAGGGAATGACAATCCACTCCAGTATTCTTGTATGGAGAATTCCCATGGACAGAGGAGTCTGGCGGGCTACAGCCCATGGGGTCGCACAGAGTTGGACACGACTGAGAGACTAACACTTTCACTTTCTTTCTTCATAAGTAAGTCAGCAACAAATGCAGGTTTTAATTTTGACCTAAGCCTTAATCATCTGACATGTAGAGGAATAAGATTATTCCAAGTAAGTGACTTATACTCCTACAAAACTTAATTGTATTTTTTATGGCCATTTTTCTTAAAATTTTATCCCGCCCCCACTGATAAAAGATACATGATATAACTTAACTTTATCCATGACTCTGGGTCGCCCTTAAGAGCACTGTTGCATATTGCGTATGATTCTGCTTTTCTCTCACCTTCAGGACCAGTTTGTCAGCAGTCGCTTTTCCCTTGCTGCCTTGTACGGGCCTGGAACAGCAACAGTCCCCTTTGAGCCACTTTCCCATCCCTTACCACTCTTCCCTTTTAGTTTATAGTTTCTGGTATGCTGTGGCCTTAGGAAACCAAACTCAGTCAGTAAAGCAGTGTTTGAGAATAGTGCGAACTAAATGCCAACAAGTATTCAGTGGCATTTTTTTTTTTTTAGATCTCCAGAAAAGTCTGGCAGCACTGTTTCTCATTAAAGATAGGGTATGTGTCAGGGGGAGAGGAAGGCATAGGGCTGGAGAGAAAGCTAAGTAGGTATCAGAGTAATTCAGGATTTTATTTGCCAAAGGGATATATGTATTTAAAACTAATGATTTATTTTTCTCTTACTGTACATCTTGATCTTTAATGAAGAATAGAGAATTTCAACTTGACTTACATTTCAAGAAGGAAAACAGTGTGATTATTGAAATGCATTTTAGTAGTCTTCAATTTTGAAGAGGTTAGGGAGGCTGTTTACTGGGGATTTTACAAAAAGATTTACAGGCTCAGTACTTGTTTTTCTTTATATGATTTTGATTTAAGATAGCACTGCTATAGACAGAAATGTAAGGAAATGTAACTGATTAGATTACTAATAAATGGACAGTAGATTATTAAAGCATGTGTGCTCAGTCGTGTCCCACTCTGTGACCCCATGGACTATAGCCCACCAGGCTCCTGTGTTCCTGGGATTTCCCAGGCATGAATGCTGGAGTGGATTGCCATTTCCTTCTCCAGGGGATCTTCCCAACCCAGGGATCAAACCTGCGTCTATTGCCTCTCCTGTTTGGCAGGCAGGTTCTTTACCACTGAGCCACTTGGGAAGCCTGAATCATTAATATTTGAAATAAAAAAAATCATTTGGTTAGCTTTTGTAGACAGAAAACAAGAGTGAATGCATAATGGAGTAGAAATCAAGTCGCAGTATGGTGGTTTTGTTAAAGAGTTTTATTTTCCTTTGAGAATGTGTATGACATTTTGAAACAAGTGAAATCATGATTAAAGGTTGGCTTTGTATTTGTTTATTGTTTCTGAGGTAGATGATGTACTTGGGAGTGTCGAGAGGGCTGAAGTTGCCCTTAAACAAAGGGGCAAATAGAGTGTTTGGTTTTGAGCCCTGGAAAAAATTTTGAGGACCTGTAGTTTTGCCTAGAGAAGAGGAGTCAAAACAATAAAAGTTTGAAGAAATGAGTCCTAAAAATTAAAACCACGTAGACATTCTCAGACATACAAAGAAATGATGTTTAATGCTGGCATCTGTTCTCAGTGTCCGCTGAGTATCAGACAAATGAAAATGGGCTTTGCAAGAAGAGTTTAAGGAATTTGAAAAGCTGTGTTCGATACTCTAATATATCCAGTTCTCTATACAGGTACATCCTTTTAGTGCTTAGGGAATGAATATAGACCTATGAGTGAACGATTTATTGTTTTTTTAATATTACTTTTTCTCTTGTTTCTAAAAACAATATATACTAATAATAAAATTTGGAATCATAAGAGGAAAAAGTGCACATGCAGTTTTGGAGATACACCAAAATATTACTAGCATTAATTTCAGTTTTTCTGGTTTTTTTTCTAGCTTTTAAAAATTATATACTATAATCATATTGTATATACAGTAGGTTGGTTTTTTCAGTTGTATGTGGACATGTAATTTTAAAATATTTTTATTTTTCCACTCATGTTTTTCATTTTATAGATCTAAAAGAACTCAGGCAGAAACCATGAAACTGAAGAGGATCCAGAAGGAGTTACAGGCTTTAGATGACATGGTGTCAGCTGACATTGGAATCCTCAGGAACCGGATTGATCAGGCCAGCCTCGACTATTCATATGCTCGGTGAGTTAGGAGTCTGATTTAGTTAATGTATATTGTTAGCTAGGCCAGAGGCATTTATGTGTATCATCGTTAAGCCTCATAACAATAGTATTAGGTGCTGTACCTATTCCGGTTTTCAGTCAGTTCAGTTGCTCAGTTGTGTCCACCTCTTTGCGACCCCATGGACTGCAGCACGCCAGGCTTCCCTGTCCATTACCAACTCCTGGAGCTTGCTCAAACTCATGTCCATCAAGTTGGTGATGCCATCCAACCATCTCATCCTCTGTCATCCCCTTCTCCTCCTGCTTTCAGTCTTTCCTAGCATCAGGGTCTTTTACAGTGAGTCAACTCTTTGCATCAGGTGGCCAAATTATTGTAGCATCAGCTTCAGTATCAGTCCTCCCAGTGAATATTCAGGACTAATTTCCTTTACGACTGACTTTTTTTTCTGCTTGCAGTCCAAGGGACTCTCAAGAGTCTTCTCCAACACCACAGTTCAAAAGCATCAGTTCTTTAGTGCTCAGCTTCTTTTTGGTCGAACTCTCACATCCATACATGACTACTGGAAAACCATAACTTTGACTATATGGACCTTTGTTGGCAAAGTAATGTCTCACTTTTTAATATGCTGTCTAATCAAATTATCTCCTTCTTGAAGTCTTCATTAACTCTTAAATCTGCCCTACTCATTAACCTTGTTATACCCCTGCTAGAGGATTTCTTGCTTTATTTATTTACATTTTAGTCTTTCCTGCTAAGCCATCAGCTGTTTAATATTTGAGACTCTAAAAGTCTGAATGACTTGCTCCAGAACTCTATATTATTCTAACACCAAGTCTGTGTTCTTTCTTTAAGAAATTTTGATTATCTGAGATGGTCTAAGGATTAGCCTAGTTCTCATTTCAGTTTTCATCAAAGAAAGGTCTAGTTTATTTTTTAAAGGCATTTGAGTATTTTAAAGAAAATACCACTCTGTACTGAAAGCTTAAAGTTTTTTTCTTTTTCAATTATGCTCTGTGTAAAATGGTTTGCTATCACATGTTTCCTTGGTTTCAATAATTGGCATTTTTTTTAAGAGAAAAAATCATCATTGCATGTTCTCAAAACAAACTAACACATGTAAAGAATTACATGAACTTTGCAAACAGATAAAAGAGCAAAAAAATTAAGTCCAATTTCAGGGTTTTCAGTCTTTTCAACATTGCTTTAATCATCCTGGTTTGTCTTTTTTCACAAGGGAATGCTGTGTTAATGACTCAGTTTTGCATCTTTCTCTGTAACAGTAGAAATCAATCAGAATGCCTCATTAGTCCAGGGTAAACCACAGCATCAGAATGTTTATATAACAATTTAATAAAGCGGAAATGCTTGATTGTGGTTTTTAATTTACTGTTTATTGTTTAAGAAAGAGGTTTGTGGTGTCCTTGTGATTTTTGTAATTGTTGTTTGACCATATGCTATTAGACCTAATGGGTTGCTTTTATTAAGTAACTGCATAAATTAATGCCATCAGTAGCTGATAACTGGTGGTTCCATTTCTATTAATAAGGTCATTAAAGAGGTAACCAAGATTTTACTAAGATTAGACTAAGCCTAGATTTTTAGCACATTTTTCCTCTGTAACAAGTTTGCCAGAGGAATGTTTTTATGCCTTTTTAGCTTTTTAAATGAATAATTCTGATTATTCTGGATGTCTCAACAGAAAAATCATTTGATCATGTTTTAATTCTGTCCTGGGGGTGGGGGCTGGAGAAGGATGCCTTTGTACATTGAACATTATATAAGAAATGCCATTGTTTTAGCCTTCAGAGAACCACAAAGAAGGTGGGATTGCTGGTTAAAGGAGACAGTATCCCACAGTATATGAGTATTTTTTCAGGACATTTTTGTACACTTTATATAGTAAAAGATTTTACATGATAAATTGTTGCATTTCTTAACAAGCTAAAGATGACAGTTTGTCATGGTACTAACACTGATATAGATGTTTGTGAGTATCCTTATTGTATGTGTGACATTATTTCTAAAAACATAAGCTCTTGAGTTAAGTCACAGAGAGCCATAGACAGTTTAGCCTAGAACCAGGGTTGAATTTAGCCTAGAACTAGGGTCATGCAGAAGATTAAGACAACATTTTCTAAATTTACAGCTATGGTTGTTAGGCAATTATAGATTGGTGATAATAGTATTATGGTCTAGACGTCTACTGAAGGTAATCCCCAGGGTAGTCAGTTTCATTGGTTCTGTGGGAGATTTCCTTGACTTTGTTTAAATAAAAATATTGTTGTTCTGCCCACAGAAGGTTCTTCCATACAAATAGGCCAGAATTCACCTTAAAACTGGTTCCTGTAGAGCAGTGTCAGGGTAGACACCTCTGAGAAGACGACACTTGGAGTGAGGCAGCTGGAGAGAGCTGTCACGGCTGCTGCTGTTCACAGCTGTGGTTGCAGCGCTGCCCTGGGCTGCGCAGGCCCGCTTGTAAAACTGAGAGTGGCTCCCTGTAGAACTCTTCTTTAACCCTCAGTGTACTGGGAAAGATTGAAGGCAGGAGGAGAAGGTGACGTCAGAAGATGATATGGTTGGATGGCATCACTGATGCAATGGACTTGAATTTGAGCAAATTCCGGGAGTTGGTGAAAGACAGGGAAGCCTAGTGTGCTACAGTCTATGGGGTTGCAAAGAGCTGGACATGACTGAGCAACTGAACCACAAAATACCAGGAAAAACAATGTGTGCTATTTGCCTTCCATGTTTAATAGACACTGCCATGTGTATGTCCACACACACACACACACACATATAAATGTTCTCAGTTGCTCAGTGGTGTCTGACTCTTTGGCAACCCCAGGGACTGTAGCGAGCCAGGCTCTTCTGTCCATGGAATTCTCCAGGCAAGAATATTGGAGCGGGTTGCCATTCCCTTATCCAGGGGGTCTTCCTGACCCAGGGATCAAACCCAGGTATCCCACATTGCAGGTGAATTCTTTAGCGCTGACCTACCAGGGAAGCCATATTGATTTGGTAGGACTGCCATAACAAATTATGAAAAAGTCAGTGGCTTAAAACAATAGAAATTTATTCTCTTGTGCTTCTGGAAACCAGAAGTCTGAAATCAGATGTTACCAGGGTTGCTATTCTGTCAGAGACTCTAGGGGAAGATACGTTCCTTGTCCCTTCTGGTGTCTGGTTGCTGAAGGCATACCTTGGCTTGTGGCTGCACTACTCAGGTCTGGGCCTGCCAGGTCACATTGCTTCCTCCTGTTTTCTCTCAAAACTTACTCTGCCTCTTTCTCAAAAGGAAACATGCGGTTGCATTTAGTACCCAACTGGATAATCCAAAATAAATTCCTCTTAAAATCTTAAACTTTGTCACATCTTTTGCCATTTGAGGTAATGTTCACAGATTCTTGGGAATAGGAAGTGAATATCTTTGGGGGGTCATTTTTTAGCCTGCCACAACATGCATCTTTTGATTTGTCTCAGTTCAGTTCAGTCGTTCAGTCGTGTCTGACTCTTTGCGACCCCATGAACCGCAGCACGCCAGGCCTCCCTGTCCATCACCAACTCCCAGAGTCTGCTCAAACTTATGTCCATTAAGTCGGTGATGCCATCCAACTATCTCATCCTCTGTCGTCTCCTTCTCATCCTGCCCTCAATCTTTCCCAGCATCAGGGTCTTTTCAAATGAGTCAGCTCTCCACATCAGGTGGCCAAAGTATTGGAGTTTCAGCTTCAATGTCAGTCCTTCTAATGAACACCCAGGACTGATCTCCTTTAGAATGGACTGGCTGGATCTCCTTGCAGTCCAAGGGACTCTCAAGATGTCTTCTCTAACACCACAGTTCAAAAGCATCAATTCTTCAGCCCTCAGCTTTCTTTATAGTCCGACTCTCACATCCATACATGACCACTGGAAAAACCATAGCCTTGACTACACGGACCTTTGTTGGCAAAGTAACGTCTCTGCTTTTTGAATATGCTGTCTAGGTTGGTCATAACTTTCCTTCCAAGGAGCAAGCGTCTTTTAATTTCATGGCTGCATTCACTATCCGCAGTGATTTCGGAGCCCAGAAAAATAAAGTCAGCCACTGTTTCCACTGTTTTCCCATCTATTTGCCATGAAGTGACGGGACCGGATGCCATGATCTTAGTTTTCTGAATGTTGAGCTTTAAGCCAACTTTTTCACTCTCCTCCTTCACTTTCATCAAGAGGCTCTTTAGTTCCTCTTCACTTTCTGCCATAAGGGTGGTATCGTCTGCATATCTGAGGTTCTTGATATTTCTCCCGGAAATCTGGATTCCAGCTTGTGCTTCTTCCAGCCCAGCATTTCTCATGATGTACTCTGCATATAAGTTAAATAAGCAGGGTGACAATATACAGCTTTGACATACTCCTTTTCCTATTTGGAACCGGTCTGTTGTTCCATGTCCAGTTCTAACTGGTGCTTCCTGACCTGCATACAGGTTGCTCAAGAGGCAGGTCAGGTGGTCTGGTATTCCCCTCTCTTTCAGAATTTTCCACAGTTTATTGTGATCCACACAGTCAAAGGCTTTGGCATAGTCAATAAAGCAGAAGTAGATTTTTTTTCTGGAACTCTTCTTGCTTTTTCGATGATCCAGCAGATGTTTTCAATTTGATCTCTGGTTCCTCTGCCTTTTCTAAAACCAGCTTGAACATTTGGAAGTTCATGGTTCACATATTGCTGAAGCCTAGCTTGGAGAATTTTGAGCATTATTTTACTCGTGTGTGAGATGAGTGCAATTGTATGGTAGGTTAAACATTCTTTGGCATTGCCTTTCTTTGGGATTAGAATGAAAACTGACCTTTTCCAGTCCTGTGGCCACTGCTGAGTTTTCCAAATTTGCTGACAGATTAAGTGCAGCACTTTCACAGCATCATCTTTTAGGATTTGAAATAGCTCAACTGGAATTCCATCACCTTCACTAGCTTTGTTCGTAGTGATGCTTCCTAAGGCCCACCTGACTTCACATTCCAGGATGTCCGGATCTAGGTGAGTGTAAGTGATCACACCTTCATGATTATCTGGGTCGTGAAGATGTTTTCTGTACAGTTCTTCTGTGTATTCTTGCTACCTCCTCTTAATATCTTCTGCTTCTGTTATGTCCATACCATTTCTGTCCTTTATCGAGCCCGTCTTTGCATGAAATGTTCCCTTGGTATCTCCAATTTTCTTGAAGAGATCTCAAGTCTTTCCCATTGTGTTGTTTTCCTCTGTTTCTTTGCATTGATCGCTGAGGAAGGCTTTCTTTATCTCTCCTTGCTATTCTTTGGAACTCTGCATTATGATTTGTCTAATAACTGCAAAATGGGCTTCCCTGGTGGCTCAAATGGTAAAGAATCTGCCTGCAGTCCAGTAGACCCGGGTTCAAACCCTGGATCAGGAAGACCCCCTGGAGAAGGGAATGGCTACCCACTCCAGTATTCTTCCCTGGAGAAGTCAGTGGACAGAGGAGCCTGGGGGGCTACAGCCTATGGGGTTGCAAACAGTGGGACACAACCAAGTGACTAACACTTTCACATTCAATAACTGCAAATGTCTTCTTCTGTAAATTTTTCTTTGCTCTTCTGGGTAGAAAATGAAAAATAATCCTCACTTGTGTTTAGTGAAAGCTAAAAGCAGATTAGAAGTATGTTTCCAGTCTAATTTTATACTTTATTAAAAGGTGATGTAATACTTTGGCAAAACAGTAAGGAAACTAAGCAGTTCATTATTGTATCATCCTTTTAGGTCATTCCATCATTCTCTGTTTTCTTATTATTTTAAATTTTCAGCATACTTGGGAATAATAGATGAGTAATGAGGAAGTAATTCCTAGGGTGAGGAAATGACAAATGTTTCAAAATACAAGAAAAACTGTATTTCAGCAATCCCATAATGTATCTTAGATTTCTAAAAGGGCCCAGTGGACTGATAAAGTAACTGTAAAATATAATTAGTGTATTTTTCAAAATATTATAAATAAATTTTCTCTTTGTTCTCTGGAAAACTTCTAAGAAATAATAAAAACTATGATATGTTGATACTTACAAATAGTTAGAACTGTTCAGAAAAGAAACTAAAGAACTAAAAGTTCTAAGAAAATTTTTAGTTCCAGTGGGACCTAATGCATGCCAAGGGTTAATGCTGTTTTAAAAAATTTTCAGGGGTACTGAAACCAAGAGATAGTTTCTAGAATCCTTTAAATAACATTCATTAAATCATTCAAGATTCCTTTAAAATAACAAAATGGTTCTATGATTACATTTCCAGTTCAATTTGTCTTACTGTATTATGTATAATGCTCTTACTATTCTGTTCCAAAGTATGTCTTCATAGTCTGATTTGGTATTATCCACCTGACCCCCAGACTTGTAGTGCAGTTTGTGAAACTAATCAATATTTTTTTAACATAAATCACTGTGTAAAAAAACATATGTGTGTGTGTGTGTGTGTGTGTGTGTATATATGCATGTTTCTGGCCAGAGGACTTTAAATAAATAAACAAAATGCAGAATCTTCAATGATTTATTCAGAGTGAAAGATCAATGGAAACCTAGGGACCGATTTGCAAATTTTATTTCAATTCAGCATTCATGAGCCTAGTCAGTAAATCTTTACTAACTGACTTTGACTGGCTGAGGCTGACCACAGACTTGCAGAGAAGGGGGGCTTGAGTCAAAGGAAGGGACAAGATACATATACCTCTAGAGACTGTTGTCAGAGCTCTCAAGCTTGATGAAAGAACATTCATAGGTAGGATATTATATGAGAATAAGGGATCCAGATACCCAGCGTACCCTCCTTTGTAACAATTCTTTTAACATGGGGTAGAACAGCTTGTTCTCATTCTTATATTTACTAGATGACAGTAAAAAAAGTAAATGTGAGAAATGAACATTATGTAAATAAGAGTTTTCAAATATAAACCCTAAGTTCTTAAATTGTACTTAAGTTTAATTTTAAGTATTTGTTTGTGTGCTTAGCTGCTCAGTCATGATCCCATGGACTGTAGCCTGCCAGGCTCCTCTGTCCATGGGATTCTCCAAGCAAGAATACTGGAGTGGGTTGCTATGACCTTCTCTAGGGAATCTTCCCCACTCACGTATCAAACTCAGGTTTCCTGCATTGTAGGCGAGTTCTTTACCATCTGAGCCACCAGGGAAGCCCAGATACATGTTTAGTGATATACTAACAGTACTTTTTAATTCTGGTGCTATGAAGAGGAAGTTCTGTTTCTTGAATGGCTACCAGGCACTAGGCTAGACACTTGCCCTCCTTTTTCTATTTAATGCTTAGTTAACACTCCTATGAGGTATTATTATCATCACCATTTTACAGACAAACCAAGACTTGGTTCACGAAGCTACCCCTGCTCACCATACTGAAATATTTAGTCACTGCATGCCTTTTTTTCAGCCTCTTCCACTGGAACCTGGCTGTGTGTTGTTTTCATGATGTTGAGCCTGGGGCACACGTGATAACAAAAATGGGAACCCCAGAACATTTAATCCATAAACTGAACTGAGGGGCCTGGCGTGACCTGGCATTAAGGGTTCTGTTTAAACTGATATAAGTCAAGCCAAGCCAGCCCAGCCAGAAGGAATTTTGGAACATGGAGGGTTTGATTGAAGAGAATTTGATAGCACACAGCTGGTGGCCATACTAGGCTGTGAATATGATAGGAAAGCCTAAAAGAAAGAAACCCTCGTTTCTGACCATTGAAGAGAAGAGCCCTTTATTCTGATGACATGCCTTTGAGACTGCCTCTTATATCCTGCAATAAAACCCTCTCTGTCCCTGAGCTAGTATGACTCACATCCAGAAAAGGTTTTGCCAAAAGACGTACACACATTGTAAATGGCAATGGTAGGTTTTGAACCCTGGGTTCTCTAAAAGCAAGGCCTTTTATTTATTTATTTTTCACTGTATTTCCTTCTGAGACAGAGACTCTTGCATAAGGAGATAATACCTATTTCTTTCTTGCCATAACTCTAGTGCTGGAAATTACTATTACATTGAGTAAGGTAAGACAGGGCTTCCCTGGTGGCTCAGCAGTAAAGAATCCACCTGTAATGCAGGAGACCCGGGTTTGATCCCTGGGTTGGGAAGATCCCCTGGAGGAGGGCATGGCAACCCACTCCAGTACTCTTGCCTGGAGAATCGCATGGACTGAGGAGCCTGGCAGGCTACAGTCCACAGGGTCACAAAGAGTTGGACACGACTGAAGCGACTAAGCATGCACACATGCAAAGTAAGGCAATCATAACAGGTAAGGCAGCATAGCCTTCACAACTGTTCAGTTCAGTCGCTCAGTCGTGTCCAACTCCTTGTGACCCCATGAATCGCAGCATGCCAGGCCTCCCTGTCCATTACCAACTCCCGGAGTCTACTCAAACCCATGTCCATCAAGTCGGTGATGCCATCCAACCATCTCATCCTCTGTCGTCCCCTTCTCCTGCCCTCAGTCCCTCCCAGCATCAGGGTCTTTTCCAATGAGTCGACTCTTCACACGAGGTGGCCAAAGTATTGGAGTTTCAGCTTCAGCGTCAGTCCTTCCAATGAACACCCAGGACTGATCTCCTTTAGGATGGACTGGTTGGATCTACTTGCGGTCCAAGGGACTCACAAAAGTCTTCTCTAACACCACAGTTCAAAAGCATCAATTTTTCGGCACTCAGCTTTCTTCACCGTCCAACCCTCACATCCATACATGACCAATGGAAAAACCATAGCCTTGACCAGACAAACCTTTCTTGGCAAAGTAATGCTCTGCTTTTTAATATGCCGTCTAAGTTGGTCATAACTTTCCTTCCAAGGAGTAAGTGGCTTTTAATTTCATGGCTGCAGTCACCATCTGCAGTGATTTTGGAGCCCAGAAAAATAATGTCTGACACTGTTTCCACTGTCTCCCCATCTATTTCCCATGAAGTGATGGGACCAGATGCCATGATCTTAGTAGTAACTAAATAGAATAATTAGTTGGTAGGTAGGGATCAACCTCTTGTAGACAAAAAGAAAACCGACACATTATATGGAAAGGCAAATAAAAAAAAAGGGAGGTTGTAAATTGACATCCTCAGTAGAATTACCCTGCATCAAGTAAGACTGGCATTATCTACCTATGGAGTTTCTATATATGTAAAAAATAATTGACTTTTCTTAGTAAAAGTTTCACAGTAGTCTGTTGCAGAGTGGACAGGGTGAAAACAATCTGGCGCTTCTTAACTAGGGGCAGTTTTGCCCCTTAGGAGACATTTGGTAATATCTGGAGACATTTTTGGTTCTCACATGCAATAGGTGCTGCTGTCCATGTCTTTCTCCACCAAAAGGTTTCTCCCTTTTCTAATCCATTTAGTCAAGAGATACAGATTTTTCTGCTTTCTCCATCTCTTACTGTTTTACCTCTCATAAATTTAACTGGCTATATGCTAGAGCTGGCTTTGCCTGGTTCATGAGAGAGTTTGTGTATCTCTTCCCAATTCTGCATTTAGGGATATCACATCAGTAGCTTGAAATTGACCATGGTAATCATGTTTTTACTACAGAAATTGACAAACACTACATATTAGGGCTTTCCCCCACTGGAGCTAGCACACCACTGAATTAACCTTTCAACCTGGTTTCATTTAGGCACAGCCTTGGAAAGAGGAAATGGGTACAGTAAAATGTGGTTAGGTTAGGAGAGTCCAGATGTGCATGTTGTGGAAGTTTCAGCAGCAGTACCCTACTTGGTCTAACATGTAGACAGGTGTCTGTAAAGTATTAAGAGCCATATTTTCTTCTTACATCATTTTTTCTGGTGTTGGAGTTACTGTGTCTAGCCCTCTGACTGTCTCCTTCAGTAGCTAGCTAATAGACCAGTGTTCGTATCTGCTCCTGCAGGAAGCGGTTTGACAGGGCTGAAGCAGAGTACGTGACGGCAAAGCTGGAGCTGCAGCGCAAGACGGAGCTTAAAGAGCAGCTCACTGAGCACCTTTGCACAATCATCCAGCAGAACGAGCTCCGCAAGGCCAGGAAGTTGGAGGAGTTGATGCAGCAACTGGATGTGCACGCCGATGAAGAGACTTTGGAGCTCGAGGTGGAGGTGGAGAGACTGCTGTGTGAACAAGAAGCAGAAGCAAGGAAACAAGTGGTTCATTTAGAGAGGTCATTTCAGCCGTCTGGGGAGAGTGTGACCTTAGAGTTGGCTAAAGAGGACAAAAAGCCTCAAGACCAGACTGCTTCCACAAAGGTAGACAAACTGGGGCAAAACTCCAATAGCACTGCCCTTCTTGATCCAGAGCGGCCAAACCAAGAGGATGAAACTGCGGTAAAAGACAGTTCAGCTTCTCTCATCACGTGAAGTGTCCGTGTTTGTTCTTTACAATTAAATAGGGTATTCAGTAAACTTTCTGTTGTAGATTATGCCATGACCTCTGATAAATGCCCCTTCAAGACAACATTAATTTTTAAATCCATTAGTTTTAGTGTAACATGTTTGAAGGTTCTAGAAAAATCTCAGATTATGATAGTTTTTTATATGGGGGCATAGTTCACCTTGATTTTAATCCAGGTCTTCCATTGTATCCTTATTACTGGGTGAAAACAAGTAATTTAAAAGGATGGAAGAAAAACTACATGGTTAATTGTTTTTTCAGACCAGGTGAATACAGAAATATAAAGTGAAAAATGATAATCAGTACCTAATGGAACTTATTTAACTTCTCCTGGGAGAAATGTTGGAAATGAGAGTTCTGTTTCATGTAATCAATAAAGAGACACAAAAACTAACATGTGGAAAAGAGGATGAGAGACAAAACTAACAAAAGTACTAGATTGAATTATCTGTTTGGATCTTACTCGTGTAAAATACAACTTGGAAGTTATAGTTTACAAAAAGAACCAGACACCTTAAGTTGGCTGTTGATATACATGCACACACGTACAAACATAGATATGTGTAAATATACCACAGTATATATAACTACTATTAATATATTGTCTCTTTTCTAATCAGCACGTTGCTTAAATTTAGGCAGTGAAAACCCTTTTACTGGCTGAAAATAATACAAAAAATCTTACTGCTACTTTTGATTATTTAAAGGTGATATTTTTTTTTTCTTAAAGTTACCTGTATGTGTTTTATATGTTGGATATAAATTATCCTGTCATGGAACATTAAAATTGTTAAAATGATGGGTTTTTATTACTTCAATAATTTGTTAATTACCATCACTAATACTTGACCACTACATTGTACTATATATGAATGTGTAACTATCACATGAAATTATGATCTATTTATCAGAAATTCTGAAAGTACAAATATTACATTTTAAGGCTTAAAGAACTATTATAAAAGAAGATAAGGACAAATGTAATATTGTATCCATTATAAGTTCTGAAAAAGTTGGGGACATCCTATTTTAAAATGAGTTTGTTTAAAGATATTACCTTCTAGTAATGCAGGTGAGCTTTTTATATTATGTAATTTGAGTTGAATTTATAGCTTTCCATTACTGACTTCTCTGAACAGAAACACTTAAGATAGTTGGTTTTTTATTCATGAATTACATACAAAAAACTGAAAGCTTGATTGTTCAAAACACTTATTTTTCTAATGAATAAATGTTTCTAATGCATTTATAATGTGACAAGTTTAAACAGTTGAGTGTGAATTCTTAAGCACTCTGTGGCAGTAATGCATCCTGTTTGTTCATGGGGTAGGGGCTTCCCAGGTGGCTCAGTGGTAAAGAATCCGCCTGCCCATGCAGAGGACGCAAGAGATGTGGGTTCAGTCCCTGGGTTAGGAAGATCCCCTGGAGGAGGAGATGACAACCCGCTCCAGTATTCTTGCCTGGAGAATTCCTTGGACAGAGGAGCCTGGCGGGCTACATGGGATTGCAAAGAGTCGGACATGCCTGAGCAACTGAGCACACGCAGTCTAGTTCTCAGTCTGTACCATACTTAAAAGTACAAGGAGGAAGGAGAACTGTGAAATAAATGAATTGGATGGGACCTCAGCGATGACTGAGTTTAATCGTCTTATTTTACAGTTGAGGAATATGAGAGTCAGAGCTTTTGCTTACGGTATGCTGGCCAACTTCCTCATATTAAAGTGCTGGTAAAGTTGCAGTTTTAAACTCGTGATATATCTCTTATGTATGTAAAGCCATGAAGCTCACTGCATTCTTCAACTTGAAAATTTTGCTCTATAACATATTCAGGATTTGTGTTTGTACATGTGAAATGCTTTCAAATATGTCTATAAAAGTCCCTGAAACCATTATTTTACCTTGCTTGACTTTCTCAGGGTGGTATCCAAGTGCTCAGGTGATGATATAAGTGACAGTTATATTGCATCAGTTTTGTACAAGGCAGCTGTCTCCCATGTGTGAGAGGAACAGAGCAAATGAATGAGAATGGGGGCTTATTGGTATGAGGACCACATGCACTGGCTTTTCCAGGATAGCCCTGGTATCTTTTAAAATCATAAAATACATTTGAAAGGCTTTTGATATATGAATTCAGAAATCCACAAAAATTGTTATTTTCTATGAATGAAACTGTTGGCTCAAAATTACTGCCATGAGTTTACTGGGGTGCTTCACAGAACTGTTCCTCTGGTGGTGAACTCCTTTTCCTTCCACTGCTCAGTTAGCTGTTACCAAGGCTCTTAATAATGTGATATGTAATTTCAGAGTTAACTGCTTTGTTATCTCACTTGTTCTATTTAAAAGATAGTGTTTAGAAAATTGTAGCAATTTTCACTCATTATCTTTAAAAAGCATACTTTGAAGAGTAGTAAAATTGAATTCCTGAATTTAAAGGTTCTTGCAACTTGAGGCCCTACTCTCTTTATATATGAGCCATTTTTATAGGTTTCTGAGAATCCAATTTCCCTAAAGCATGGTTTTTAAAATTGCATTTAAAAATGAAGAGTTTTTTCAAGTGTTTCTCGTCTGCATAATTCTCCTGAATTATAACAATTGCAGGTGGTACTTCGTACTGGCTGAGAACACAGCTGGTTTCCAAGTCAGATGTTAAAAATCTCTGATTGGAATTCCTAGAACTTATTTCATTGCTGGATTTCCATTTGAATTACAGAGTAAAAAAACTCAGCTGTAAACTTCTCTTATTCTTTGTTTGGATTTGGCAACATAGTACTCTCAAGGAGCTTTAAGTATTCAGCAACTTCCTCTTTTGAGGCACTGGCACAAAACGAACTCAAGTTATTCTGACCCAGGCCATTCCCCCTGACCTTTATAAATGATGTTATGGGTTTTGTATTTCTAAGGAGCTAAGTCAGCATTTTCAAAGGCCTTGATAGATATAACTCAGTCTGCCAGACAAGACCTGGGGCCACTATGGATCAGGGTAATTATACCCCTTCTCAACATAGATCTATCCCAGGCCAGACTTGAACTACTCTATGGAGGGATGAAGCTGGACAGTATTTTCCAGTCTGTCTTTACCTTAATGTCAGGCCACTTTTGCAAGCTCCTAATCCCAGTTTTTCTTGAAAATACAACATTATCTCTTCATGCAGCTGATCAAAAAACAACTGTGTAAGATACATGTAGAACTATATAAATGGTATGGTATACATTCTGTGCCTTTTGTCCGTAAGCTTATAGTCTGCTTGAAGGACTAAGATTTACTTGCATAAAACAAACCCTGGTAGCAAAACATAATGTATAATTTTGGGGAAGCAAAATAAGTGACCAGTGATACATCCTCCAGAAGTCCCCAATTTTTAGAGTACTTCTAATTTTAAATAGTCTATCCAGTTCTGCAATCTCTGAATATATTTAGAAACTACCGTATCTTAGTTTGTCTTTAGCACTGAGGAACAACATATATACAACAGAAAAAAACAACAAAAAACCTCTGCTAGACAACATGTCCAGATTTTGAGTTAAAAAACTGTCACTAGAGCAAAAGTGAATTGGAAAATGGGGAGGTTTTTTGCATGACATGATTTAAAGCAGGGGGCCCACTGAGATTTATCAGTTAAGAAAAAATCAAAATTGGAAAAATGAAATTTAAGTATTTCTGACAAAGGGTTGGTAGTATCTTATATGGCAAAGAGCATAAATATAATAGCTTATTACAATAATTCAAGGTGTTGCTGAACCAGGGGGCAATAATTATTGCCCAAGCCAGAACAAGATGGAAATGGAATGGTCGTATAAACTCAAGGATAACAGCATGGATGTACATTCAAAGATTACACATAAGAGAAGTCTTTTCAAGCCAAATGACCCTGGGTGTCTAAAATAGAGCCATAATTAAGCAATAAGACGTGACAGGGAGCACATTTCTCAGTGATTATAGCATGCCTCAAGGGATAATTCACTAGGCCAAAGGTCCATATGAGGAATGAAATAATAACCTTGCAATGTATAGTATCAAGCTCATAGAGGAAGAAGGAGAAGGAAATGAATAAGGGGACTTAGAAAAGTCATTTCATGAGCTGTTATTTCAGTTGTTGGGTAATACTGCCATGTGTACTTTACATGTAGCCATTAGCCATACCCAGCATCCTGAAACTATTTACACCAGAGCCCCCATCTAATTTAAAACCCTGCAGAATTGTCCATTTCTCATTTTTTTAACTGAGCAGAAACAAGCAGTTAAGTCACAGATTGAAAGTTCGTAGCCATATATAAGGAATCCCAGTCTGGTAGAACTTACAGTTGCTTAGACCCGGATTTTATAACTGAAAAATAATTGAAGCAACCACAAGGTATTTTTATTATCTTGACTCATTTATCTCATGTACATTTCCCTCAGAAACTACCAATAGCCATGGCCCCAAGTATCACGTAGATCCAGAAATATGTCCAGCCTTCTAGTCTGAGCTTTCCCTTCCCTACTGCTGTGCGACTAGTGGGAGAGAGGGAGAACTCTAGAGCTAGTGACCAACTGAACCCCAGTATATGACGGAGGCAGGCCTCGCCGCAGGATGAAAACTATTCCATCTTCAGTAGCCATAAGGTGGGGTAAACAGTTTCTAAACTGGCATGCCCTGAAAAGCCCAGCAGACAAAGGTAGGTATCTTATTGCCAGATGTCTCTCCATGTTTCTATGATTCTTATCACTTCAGAAGATAGCTACAAATCTGAACCAAAGTCAGAGGATAAGATTTTTTCTATGTATGAACCTCAGCATCCCCCTATGCCAGTAGATTTTGTCTCAGGCTATCCCCTGGACAAAATTCTAGGCAAGCAATCATTTATCTTGCATAGCTTAGGCCCTCCTTTTATAGGGTGGCCAGTACTCTCACTCTTTCACTCAAAATCTATTCTTGAGGGAAAATCTGAATACAGTTCCTCCAAGATTCTTATGTTGAAATCTAAG